TCCACTCTTCAGGACTATAATTGACTTATGATATACCCACATTTAAATGCACCAGCATTTCTCAAATGAACCACTCTGTAAAAAATAAGAAACTTTTTTGGCATCCAGCTAAATGAATTAGTGCCTGAAGCTGAAACAGAAGGGTTGTTATGTATTGGAGGGATTAGGAAACAGACTCAAGTGTGGGCAGGGCATGGCTCAATATATGGGGAGAAATATTCTAACAACTAACATACCTGATCATTGAACTGGCCTATTTTCCTAAGCTTGTTAATTTTAGCAGTTGGGGGGGGTTGAAACAGAGGTCAGAGTCAGGACTTTGCCCATGGATATGGAATTCTAAGTAAACTCAAGAAAGTTGGGGTAAGACTTAATGAAACCTGGGGCTAGAGCAATAGCACAGAGAGTAGGGAGTTTGCCTTGCACGCGGCCGACCCGGGTTCAATTCTCTGCATCCCACATGGTCCCCTGAGCACCGCCAGGGGTAATTCCTGAGCGCAGAGCCAGGAGTAACCCCTGTGCATTGCTGGGTGTGACTCAAAAAGCAAAAGAAAAAACAAAGACTTAATGAAAGCTGGTCCTACTTTTGTGGATATATTCATCCTTGTGAGGATGAATCCCCGTGCAGGGTTGAGCCCCATTTTCCCCTGCAGTTGGGACCTTTTTGCAGCATCCTTTTATTAGGAATGTTCTTCTGTATACATTGGAAGCAGATAAGAGTTTGGAGTTGATGGTCTGTTTTTCCAAGTGTAACCTGGGTGTACACCCTCGTTTCCTCAGAGAGCGCGTTCAAAGGAAGCACAGCCTCACAATCAAGGGTAATGTCAGAGGAATAGAATTGCAATCTCGCTAGTCCCTCTGTAAAACGGCTCGATGCGATCTAATTGATATTTCTTAAAAACACTTTCCTCATTCACGCTTGGCTCAGTGCCCTCATTTGTCACAGTTGTTCCAGAGGTGCTCATGTCAATCCTCAAGTTCTCTGAAACCTCAGCCAAGAGACCGTTTATTGCTGTTTTTCCTCCTCCTCTGCTTCTTCAGCCATTATCACAGTTTCCCTCTCCCCATTCTCCCGATCCTATGGTAAATAAAAAGATATGTGTTTTTAATTTGATTTAATGTTTTTATTTTGTGCCACACCTGGTGATACATAGAATTTACTCATGGTGGTGCTCAGAAAACATATATGGAATGCAGGGGACTGAACCTGGGTTGGCGTGTGCAAGGCAAGAGCCCTACCTGCTAAACTATCTCTCCACCCTGTACTGTGTTTTTAAAAGTTAGAATTTTCCTTCGTTATGAGAATGGGAAGAAGTTGAACAAGTAAAGATAAAAATCTCTGTTTTCCCCCTTTATCTCTAACTCTTTTTCTAGGTCTCTTTTCTTGTTTCTTTAAACAGGACTGAGGCAGGCAAAATGATTATTGGATAATTTCAGCAGTTGGGATATTCATATGTTAATATTTACTGAGTAGATCCTGTGTCTGCGAACCTTCTAGTAGATGCCACTGAGAGAGATAAAAGGAAGTTATATAAATAATCCCTGTTCACAATAACCTCATGTATATGTCTGACTGTATATATATATATATATATATATACATATATATATATATATAACAGCATTTGAAAAAGGTCTCCCAGAAGACAATCAATAGAGAGTGAGGATGAATATGGGTGTAATCCCAAGGATGACCAGATGCTGGGTGTTAAGAAGACAAAACTGTGAGGAAGCTAGGGAAAACTAACTAAGAGTAAGTATTGAGTAGATTTTAAATTAGGAAAAAGATCATGGAACTAAGAGAATTTATTTAGATGTATACTGGAAGTGAAAGACTGTGGTAGTAGCAAGTGTACTGAATCTGCTGGAGCAGAGGGTGTAGACAGTGTGAGACCTGCTTGTTTGTTTTCGTCTCAGTGAAAAAGCAACCATCTTTCCTTTCACCTCTATATACTTCATTGTCTGTTTAGCCCGTTTCCCCCTGAGTTACTTAGACATTTTTCTACACTTACAATATCTTTCAGTAAAGGGTAAATCCTTGAATATAGAAGCTATTATTGATTATCCCTCTTGCCTCCTCCAACACACACACACACACACACACACACACACACACACACACACATACTTCTACAGCACTTCACACTGAGTCTAGAAGATTGTGGTTGTTCGATACTTGCTGAATTAAATAGTGGTGTGTGTGTGTGTGTGTGTGTGTGCGTGCGCGTGTGAACACTATAGGCTCACGCCCAGCAGAGCTAGCTTTGTGCTCAGAGATCACTCCTGACTGGGTTCAGTGTGTGAAGAATTAAACCTGGATCAGCTGGGTAAAAGCCAAGCTTCCTACCCACTGACTCTTGCTCTGGTGCCCGAGTTTAGTAGTGTTAATGGGAGAAAGTCCGTGGAGGTAGGGGACTAGGGAAAGGTTCATGCTTGTGCTAACGAATTAAGTTTCAAATTGTAGATGGATGGAAAAATCAGTGTCAGTGATGTCAATGATTTGATTAAAATATTGACAAAGAACTTTTTTTTTCTGTTTCAGGACAGAAAAGATTACTTCATTTTTAAATTTATTTTTCCCTTTTTATTTAATCACCCTGAGATACTGTTACAAAGCTTTCATGATTGGGTTTCAGTCATATGATGATCAAACATCCATCCCTCCACCAGTGCACATTCTCCACCATGAATCTCCCAGTTTCCCGCCTCGATGGCAGGCACTTTCCTTGAAAAGATAATTTTAATACAATTTGTCTGCCTTGTAATTTGTAAGTATGTTGATGGGATATTTAGGCAGAGATGTCCTGTAAATACCAAAATGTACACCTTAAGCTAACTTCAGTTAATACTTGGATATGTTTCAAAGTACTCTGAAAATCTATCTCACGTGTGTGAATAAATTTCTTCAATAAAGAACAATGTAGGGCTCTGCTGATCATAAGTAGGAGTAAGACTGAGCACTGGAGTAAGTGTTTTACTTTCTGGGGGGAGTGGAGTGGGGTTGGGGTCACACTGGGTGTGCTCAGGGCTTACTCTTGGCTCTGCGACTCGGGGATCACTTCTGGTGGAACTTGGAGGACCATATGGGGTGCAGGGAATAGAATCTGGGTTGGCTGTGTAGAGGGCAGGTGCACTGCCTGCTGAATTATCTCTCCAGTTGCGTTTGAGCAGTCACAGAACTTGTAGTTAAATTAATTCATCAAACTAATCGGTCTTTCTTCCTGATCTAGTATTATAAGACATTTGTTGTCACTAACAGATTTATATAGTTCCATAAGGATTCATCTTTAATAAAACCAAATTCACATGCATTCTTAATTCTCGTGTTTTTTAAGAGGACAGAGAGATAATATGTAGGGAGAGTGTTTGCCTTGTACACACACACAACCTCTGCTAGGTACTAAAACCTATACTATTGAATATTCTCGATTTCAGTAACATAAATAATTGTAATAATGCAGAACAAATTCTATTCTGTGCATATGAATAAAGTGTGCATTTATCACTAGGTACTTAGGATTCATTGAATTTTTCAAAAGGCACTTTTGAGTAGATGGTAAGCAGATGATGTCATCTTGGACAGCTGACAGAGTAGCTCATCACCTTAACTTTAAAACAATGGAAACTGCAGGGGACCTTGGAAGTAGCTAAGGGATCCAAGTACTTTGTTATTCTAAAGGCGTCCAGAAATCAGATTTCTACTCTGGACAGAAAGGCATTTAAAGGCTGAGTGAACTATATACATGGTATTCTTTTTCTTGGCTTCACAGTTTTGTTAATATATTTGACTTTTTGGTTTAATTCCAATGGCACAGCTCATAAATGTGGCTTTTTCTTTCTTTTTTTTTTTTAGGGGCTGGGAGAAACAATCATAAAATAAAAAAAACCTCTGACAGCCTGTCCTATCTGTTTTACTATAAACTGTAACATCCTTTTTGAAAATGAGAAACACTGCTTCCCTCCCCCAGGAAAGTCTTCTTCTTCTTTTTTTTTTTTTTTAAAAAAAGAGCCTAGCTCAAATGTGGGGGTGATTTTCAACAATAGTATGAAATGTGCACATTATCCTTCAAGAAATTGCAGTTACAGTAGCATTCATGTGTGAATTATACGACTTGGAGAAATCGAGAAAACTGAATGAACAATCGCAGAGACGGGCAAGCACTGAAGCCACAAGTATTTTTTTTTTTTTCTCGGTCCATGAGATGAAATTTCAGTTTGTTTATGAGAACTGACTTTCCTGTTCCCAGTGGCTGCCTGAGTGTTTCTGTATGAATGAAAATCCCATCGATCAGGGGATGAAAAAGATAAGGACGCGTAGTGATCTTCTCTGTAGGGGTCTTGGACTGGCAGTTGACTGGCACGTGGGCAAAAACCCAACCAACCCACCAAGCTTCTCAGAAAGGGAGGCCAGATTCTCTGCCTGGATTTTGCAAAGCAGACCCTGGTGGCAGTTTCTGCTTTTGCAGGGCAGGGACCGGGAGAGACTGGACTTGCCGAGCGCTTCCCGGTTCATTAGCATAACCCATCCCACTCCCAACACACGCTCAGCACTACCTCATTAGCCATTGGGACTGGAGCCAAAAACGTAAGACTACAGTGAATATAAGGGGAATTACTGGCGAGAGAGCTCTAGACAACTTAACACTGAACCCATTACTTTTCCAAGATCAGAAAACCAGTCCATTAAGGGAGCCTTTTCTCCATCTCACTCAGATAAGACGTCAAGGTTTTAATTTATATCTTTCAACTAGAATAATTAGCTGCATCCTAATAAGACATAAAGCTGGGCTGTGTGTATTGAAATGCTTCTGTTAATATTTCTCTCTCTCTCTTTTTTTTCTCTCTCTCTCTCTCTCTTTGATTTATTTTCTGGATGACTTTGACATTGTAAACCACAGACAAATTGGAGCTTGGCGCTCAAAGGAGGTGTTCTGCTGCAACTTTTTTTTTTTTTTATCCTTGTCTAAAGAAGTTTACTTCTGCAAGAGGGAATCTGAAAAATGACAGGGGCAAAAAGGAAAAAGAAAAGCGTGTTCTGGAGCAAGATCCATACCCCACACTGTGAAGACATTAAGCAGTGGTGTAGAAGGCGGCTACCTATTTTGGAATGGGCACCACACTACAATCTGAAAGAAAACTTGCTTCCAGATACCGTGTCTGGGATAATGCTGGCAGTTCAACAGGTAACACAAGGTAATGTACTGCATTTGATTTTCCGGTTTTATGAGGAGTAGACGTCTTCTTTTCTTGGAAGAATAGTGTGACCTAGGATTGACTATCTGGTTCATGAAATACATATTTTATTAGTTTTGGAGAAAAAAATAGCACACTGTTTATCTATAGAGAAAAGTTTTCCTAAGCTTTCTTTTCTTTTTTTTTTTTGCTAGCTCTTATGGCTTGAACTAATTTTTGAATGCCGTTACATATTGTTGAAATGTATGCTACATGAGAGTAAAAGACCAGTCATTTGTGGGAGTTTTAATAGCTTGACCTTGCTGAGATAGTTTCCTACTTTTGCTGAATGGAGCTATAAAATACCTCCTGGGTTGAGCACATTGTTTGTAACTCTAATTAGCAGCTCACAATTACCTGCTGTAGCCTTGAGAATGGCTGGAAGCAAGGAAAAGAGCTTTCTAAACATAAAGGAGGCTCTTTGCCAAGATCATTATTTGCAAAGAGAATCCTGTGTGTCCTTAGAGGTTATGTATTACTGTGCATGCTGATTTAATTCTATCTCACATAACATACTGTATTTATTTAAGAAAGAAATATAAGAAAAAATTGTGTAAGAAGTCTGATTTTAGCTTTATGGAGCAGATTCTAAACAAAATTCATGGTGAAAAAAATCTTCTAGTTTACTTGGGTGCAGACATATGTGAGTATGTGTATGTGTATTGATGCTGTCATTAAGGGTATTTTTATTGCTTTTTTTTTCTAATTTTGATAATGTATTTTCTATCTGGAGCAAGGGAAGGAACTGGTTTCTCAGTCTTGAGAATTTGGAACTCTTTCTTTGGCAAAGATTCTGTAGGCTTATATTTCCTTGCAGTTTCCCTACCTCCCTGGCTTGAACTATTATTTGTACTGTTAAATTATAAGTACTTTTTTTTAATTGAATTATTCTGTAGCTGGAACAAACTGGCTTGTGTATTTGTGTTTTCAGTCTGATTAGGAACATCTGCACTAGCGACTTTAAGATACATTATACTATTTTATATTTTGGGATCTTATTTCTTTGTTTTACATTTCTAATGACAGTCTTGCCAATAGCAAAGTATAGTCATCTTTTGTAAAAATGCAAAGTAAATAACAGGTGAGGGCATTTTCTGCTTCTTTTTTTAAATGTAATTTTCAGATTCAAATAAAACACCCCTATGGAATTTGAAAGGTAGGTGATACACTTACAAGAGATTCTTTTGGTTGAATGGTTTCAACATATTTTTTGAGTTTATGTTGCTTTATGACATTTTTTTTAAATCGTGGAGTGCTGTGGCAGTATTGTGGAAGTGAGTTGGCGTTCAGTTCTAGGGATTAAACCCAGGGCCTCCTACATCAAGGCATGTGCTCTGCCACTTGGCCACATTCCAGACTCTACCTAGCTTTAATTGAAGCTAAAAAAAAAAAAAGAAAAAGATAGCATTTAAAATAATTTGATCTTTCGAAGGTATCAGGCGAATAAGAAATTTTGGGACTACCATGAAGATAATCAGGGATACACCACTGATGAGATCATTTTTTTGTGCATTTTACAGTTAATTGTGTAGCTATTATTCTAGTATAGGTATTGAAGCACTTTCTTTCAGTCTTTCAATGTATATTCAAGGATTAGGAGTCATGAACATCACTGGTTATAAACAAAATGCCAGCACCCCACCCCCGCTGATGAGAGATACAGCACCTCTCAGCCTGGTGTCTTGAAGGGTCTGGGTGGGTTGGCTCATTCTCTTGGAAGGTCACCAGATTGATTGGAAAAGCTATGTGCTAGAGAGAAGTTAAAGTCTTTTTTATTGGTCCTTGAAAAGACTAATCCTAAAAGTGCCTATTCTTTTCAAACAGTTCACTCACATATTAACATACTGACTCATGGTATAGAGGTGAAAAGAAAAATGTTATAGATTGTAAAGGTCACCATGTTAAACCATTCTGTACATTATCTTACCCTCTCTAACAAATCCCAAGAGATATTAGTCTCTTCTCCATATCTCTTACGAGAAAATGGAGACAGCAAAAGAATTTGTCCTGGGCCTTATGAGGTAATTTTATCTGATAAATTATAGAGTCAATGATTGGATTCCAAAACCAATATTTTTAACCTTTACATCTATACTCTACACTGTGAAACTAATTAAGCTTTTTAATAAAGCCCATACTAGTAATAGAGGGCATTTATTTGGAAAGATATGGTTATGTTCCTCTGCATTTAGGTTTATCCCTGCAGGTTTTAAGCCCAAAGACAGAGGGACAAGGAAAATAACTGTAGTAGCATGCAGATTAGGGAAGGCAGTGGATGACTTCTATTTGCATGAATGGAATATTGTTATCATGATCAGCTCAATTGCTTTAGAAAAATTTAGAAGAACAAAGGGGAAATTTTGTTCTTTGACTACTTACTGCACAGACAAGAGAAACAAATAGCTGTTTTCCCTCTAGGAATCTTCAAAGTTGTTCCATTTCTCAAATATTTAAATTGCATTGACTTGTTGGAATCAATATTTTTGATCTCCACACATGGAAAAATTAATAGCATTTAAAATCTAAGAGTTGATTTTATCTTCCCTTTCTTGAAATGCATTTAAAATTGAGAAAGAATGAAAACTGACATTTGAATATTTTATGTATATTCAATATTAAGAAACTATTTTCAATGGTTTCATTAAAGATTTCCTAATCGTTCAATATTGGGCTTGTTATTTAATACCATACTTGATTCACCTCAAGCATTTTCTTTCAATTTTTGGACCTTGATTATTTGGTTTCCTTCTGCTATTTCTCTGGCTTTCTTATGCATCTTTGCTGTTTTTGCTTCTACTTTATTCTCTGAAGAACAGTGTCCTAAGGACTCAAACACTGACTGGCCTTTCCTCCCAAACAGTCTCAGGCAGCCTTTTCTGTGTAAGAGGTCCTTTCATTTTTGTTTGTTTGGGGGCCTCCGGTGGTGGTTCTCAGGGCTTACCCTGATTCTGCACTCAGAGATCTCTCCAAGAGGTGTTGGGGAACCATATGGAATCCAGGGATCCAACCCAGGTCAGCTGCTTTCCAGGCAAACTCTTTACCCATTGTACTCTCTCTCCGACCCAAATGTAAGAGACTCACCACCATTACTGTGCTTTTCAACCTTCCTTCTAAACCCATCCTCTAAATATTCAACTATGCAAAAGATTTTCCCAAGGGATGTCACATTCAGATTCCTCTTTGAAAGTAGGGATTTTTCTAACAGCATGTCAAAAGCAAGATATTCTTCTAAAATCAAAAATTAATCCTATGACCTGCGTGGCACCACCATCCTCACCAGAATCATAATAATAACGACGATGAACTATACTTTCTACAAACATCAGTACCGTTGTGAGAACACTTGACATTAAACTGAGTTCCAAAGAGAATGCATCACACATTGCTTACATCACACAGCAAATGAGTGGAAGAGTAAGGACTTGAACTTTGGCAGTATTGGTCAGGAGATGACTCACCATTGCCCCTAACAGAGAATCCCCAGAGATACTCAGTCCTGCCCACTGCCTGACAGCACCAGGTTCTGTTGTTTCTACACTCCCAAAACCATCACCATCAAGCCTTCTGGTTTCATGTGCCCTCTGCTGCCTTCATCTCTGGTCTGCATTGCTGAAATAATCAGTGTGCGTCTTCATTCCTCACTCTGTCTCCTCCTGTTGGCGGGATTGCATACTGCAGTGAGAATGACATTCCCATTTTCCCTATTGAAAAACTTATAAGAGTTTTTTTCCCTGGAGGATAAACATTTGGTGTCACATAATTACTTATAGCACCGCGGGTAGGGCGTTTGTCTTGCACGCGGCCGATGCAGCCAACCCGGGCAACCCAGGTTCGATTCCTCCATCCCTCTCGGAGAGCCCAGCAAGCTACCGAGAGTATCTTGCCCGCCCGGCAAAGCCTGGCAAGCTCCCCGTGACGTATTCGCTATGCCAAACACAGTAACAACAAGTCTCCAAGTCTCACACTGGAGATGTTACTGATGCCCGCTCGGGCAAATCGATGAACAACGGGAGGACAGTGCTACAGTGCTACTTATTTGAGCGTTTAACTATCTGGGATTCTTGAAACAAAGGTTCACTCAAACGAGGACTGCCTCCCAATTTCCTGGTTTGCTTTCTTCTCTCCCACTTCTTTTGTACTTTTTCCATTTCTCCACGATAGGCCCTAAAAAATTTTGCTGTAACAGTTTTGTACAAATCTTTCTGCACTGGTCTAGTATGTTCCGAAGATAAATACAAGTTAATCTTACTGATTTGTATATTGTGTGGTTCAAAGAAGTTGCTTTTTATTCTCTTTTGTTTCTTATGCCATACCCCATGGTGCACAGGGCTACTCCCGGCTCTGTGTTCTGGGGTCACTCCTGACAGTGCTCGCATGACCGTATGGTGCTGGGAATTTAAACTTGGGCTCCTGCTTGCAAAATGTGTGCATTATTGCATGTTAGCACCTTAGAAGGAAAGCAATTTTTAATAATCTTTCAAAATAATATTGAAAATACAAAAAATGCATACTTGAGATTTTTCTAATGTTTTTTACTCTTCTGACTATGCAACACTTGAGACAAATAAGGTAGAAGATGTGTTTCCTAGGTCCCAGTATTAATTTTTATCTAGATAGTTAATACAATAGGGCACTTGCCTTGCATGTGGTGGATCCGGGTTCGAACTCTGGTACCATCCATGGTCTACTGAATGCAGAGTTAGGAATTAGCCCTGAACATCACTGTGTGTTGCACCCCTCCCCCCAAAACAAAGAACAAGAACAAGAACAGTAACAATAAACAACAACAAAAATCCATGTGCTTAGTTTCTCATGAAAAAGTTTTTTGGAAAACAAAACAATAATCCAATACATGATCATAAAGGGTTCCATGTTGCCATGTGGCAAAATCTACTGGACCTTCAGCCATGCCCCTTTAGATATGCCATGCAATTTGCAGTTTGCCATAATAATCACTCACA